AGAGAGTGTCAGAGATGGTTGAGCCAAGGTACACAAAGTCATGAACAACCTCCAATTCTTGCGTGGAGATGGTAATAGAGGGAGGTGAGTCCACACCCTGGCCCATGACTTGTGTTTTCCTCAGGCTGATTGTTAGTCCAAAGTCTTGGCAGGCCTTACTAAAACGGTTCATGAGTTGTTGGAGCTCTTCAGCAGAATGGGCAACAATTGAGAGCAGAAAGCCCAGGTTGTGCCCATGGCAGATCTCGTAAAAATGCTAGCAGACCATTTTAAGCACCTTGAGCACTTTACTCTCTTTTGGGGGGAGTGAAGTTTGAGTATCCTCAAACTTACCATCCTCAAAGTTACCATTAATAAATAATAGTAATATGGTTTTGGAATTATAGTAGAAGCATATAAATAAATGATTAAGATTTGAAATCTAAGGAAGCTAGGAAGTCACTCATGCTTATTTGATTTAACAATATTTAACAAAATGTGCAGGTTTATTTTGGCTCTCTTTGCAGGAAAACTGGGTCAAGTGCTGGGTGAAGGAGCTCCACTATGCTACAATTCCTGTTTCATCAACTGAAAAATCACATAGGTATAAGCACATTGTTCTGCCTTCACTATCATCGTAGGTAGGGAAAGAACCCTTTTGTGCCAGAATCTCAGTGATTAAAAAATACCAAATCACCAGCACCTGCCTCCCCATATACAGCCAGAAGCAGCCTGAACATTTCCCCCATTCTTTAATGAGGTCCCTCAGTACACTGTGTGCTTTGTACAAAGATTTCTACCAGTTAGGACCTAACTGGAAATTTTGTACTGGTAAGAGTAATGAATGATTCTCCTACCTACTAACCAAAGTGAAGTTATTATGAGAACTAACCCCCCCCAAAAAAATCTCAATTCCTGCTGGTAAATATGTAACAAAATCAATTCATTTAACAATCTGTGGCCCTTTCATGTTGCCCTACATCTACCTCTTCTTGCCTAATGATAGGGCCAGTTTTTCATTCACCGTTCGTTTAAAAATGAGTGAGATAATGGACAAGGATAGGTGTATATTCTACAAAATTAAAACTAGGATTGAAGTTGCAAATTAAAGCGAATGGTGGGTTCAGATGCTGTAAAGGCTGAAATCTGCTACAATATAGTATAGGTTGGAGACATGCTTGTGACATCTACAACCATCTCAATTTATAAATACTATGGGAAACTTCTACAGTGTTCTTCACACAATATTTTTCCCCTCTAGGCCCCTCCTAATAGATCTGTAAGGCGCAATCTGAACAAAAGACTTCAGTTATCACCACCTGGTCCCTTTATGTGAGAAAACAGCGGAACCATTTACCACACAAAAGATACACATGCATGCAATCTGTCCCTATGCATAGCTGACAAACAAAATGAAACATTTTCCCCATAAAATGAAAAAAAACCACAGTGAAAAGAGTTAAAATGAATATGCTGCACCTTTAGATTAGGATAACAAAATCAACAGCTTTCTTTGTGCTTACATTTTATATATTTTGCACATGTTACATAAAAGCTGTCTTCATTAACATTTTTTTTTTTTTTTGGTAAGGAAAATGTTAAAATTCATGCTAAACATTTAGGACTGATTCCCAAGTAGTCAAATCCAGAAAAGAAGGCATAGTGGATATGGAATAGTGATGTGGCTTAACCTAAGAATTAATTGCATGCTATCAGATTGATTCCAACTTATGCTGACCCTTTCCAGGGTTTTAAGGTATAAAGTACTCAGAAATGGTTATATAAATTTGTTCATCTGTTATTTCTCTCAAAGCTAAATGGAGGCTTCAGAATTTCCTTCTCATATATAATCTGTTTTAATATTTTCCCTGAGTTCCTTTGGATCTTTTTCCAGAATATCTTTCATAAATAACAAAAGTGGAATTAAAAATATTAATACTACAACTTGTTTTTATTTTAAAACAATATTATGTAATTGGAACTGGCAGTTAAATTTGTATGCAGCTGTTACATAAGATTGTCATTCTGTTTTTACTTAATATTTCTAATATCTTTATTAGAGGCTTATCAAATAACTCATTTTTAAAATAATTCTGTGACCCTGGTTTATTTTAATGCTCTTCTTTTCTAGGCCAAAAAATAAATAAATGGAAGGCCGAATCTGTGTATGGTCTCTTTCTCTAGGTAACTAATATACTAACTAAACTAAAATGTATTAACACATGGTTTATCATATCAGACTGTATTTTAGGTACTGTAACCCAACCTTTTTCACGCCGCGGATCAGCTGGGGAAGGCGGAGCACCCCCTGCGCTCATGCGCATGTGTGAATGGGGTCGCAGCGCTTTTGTGTATGGTTACGTGCATGTGCAAATGACAGCACCGCCGTTTGCGCATACACAAGAGCGCAAGCGTGCCCGCACAAGCACCATACTGCCATTTGCACACGTGCACAAGAGAGAGCACAGGCACAAACAGCCTTTGCGGGGGTGAGTGCATGTGAGGAGTGGGGTGGGATTTCTGTCTTCACGGTCTGGCTCAGGCAACGGACCGGCACGGGGGCCGCAGACTGGAGGTTGGGGACCTCTGCTGTAACCTACTCTACTTTGTTCTGTTGCAATGAGTCAGCTGATATCTGAGGCATTTACTTACTTACTTACTTACTTACTTACTTACTTACTTACTTACTTACTTACTTACTTACTTACTTACTTACTTACTTACTTACTTACTTACTTACTTACTTACTTACTTACTTACTTACTTACTTACTTACTTACTTACTTACTTACTTACTTACTTACTTACTTACTTACTTACTTACTTACTTACTTACTTACTTACTTACTTACTTACTTACTTACTTACTTACTTACTTACTTACTTACTTACTTACTTACTTACTTACTTACTTACTTACTTACTTACTTACTTACTTACTTACTTACTTACTTACTTACTTACTTACTT